GCGCTGTTGTCACGGCGGTGATGACGCGTGGTGATGATGTCGCGGTTTTAGCGACGTGAATTTATCACCGCTATTTTGACAAGCGCGGTTTTGTCGTGCCACGCTTCTTTCACACCAGCATTGACCCTGTTTGATTTTGGAGAATTATACAGACAAACAAATTGAGTTTTCATCCCGTTTACATAATTTATTTCCAACATTCTCTTTTGTTTGGAAAGAATTGTAGGATAGGGAAACTTACAAAGCATTCTTTCCAGCTTTGTTATCATCAGTCACCATAACAGATTTTTGCATTTTTTCTCCTGTACAGTGAAGCAAAAATTATGTCTCTCTGTGTCTTTCTGCTCTCCCATCCCTTTTCATCTGTGTATATCTGTGCATATATACACCAAGAAGTACAACATAGACTGCATGCATAGACAGCATGAAATAGGAAGAGGAGATGGTCAGCAATATTCCTTAGCTGCTGTCCAAATGCCTTTCCTGTAGATATTTGCTGAGGGAGTTCTCTTTAGACCCCAGCTTGATCTAGCCATTGTTAATTTTTTTTCTTTTATCATCTGCTGTTCTGCCTATACACGATGAATTTTGCCCCTAATGTTCAATTGTCAAAAGTTATTCTTCTAACATACAGGCAAAATCCCAAACCTTTGTACTGGCAGCAACCCAGGCCTGCCACACACCCCAAACCAGTTCCCCAGGCGGTGCCATTGGCACCGCCATCTTATTTTTCAGATCTGCATATGTGCAGAACATTTTTAATTGCACTGTGCATGCATATGCAGTGCGTACGGAAAGCGTGCTCACAAGCGAACCGGCAGTAGTGCCTGCCGGAACCCACCCCTGGTAAGAAGTGAAAAAGATTGTGTGGAGGAAGACATATCATTTTGGAATTGTTTGCTTTTTAAAATGAATTTCCACTCATAGCAAAACTTCTTATCATCCTTAATGCACACATACAGTATGACTTATGTGCATTACATTTCAAAAAACCTTAAGACTGATCTTCAAAAGGTATTATAGAAATTCTTCTCAAATAAGGTTGGAAAAATAAAGGAAGTAGCTTTTATTTGGAAAAAGGAATAAACCATGACCAGCACAATTTCATGCAAACTATTCAGTTAAGGATATTTTTAATACTGTTGTAATGTATATTATGGGTATCCTCATTTCATTATAACAATTATTTCAGCATTATAATGAAAACTCATTGAATATCCATAGTCTGGCAGAAAATGCTGTCACATAACTTTCTCATCATTGCAATTTTGAGAAGGAATGTTCATAGCTATCCATTTGATGGATACATGTGTGCATATAATAAATTGGAGCTTTCTAAAAATGAGACAAAAAGAATGCAGAATCCTAAAGATTACTGTTTCCATGATGTTAATAATAATTCATCTTTAATTTTGTTAATTATCTTGGTTCTTTACTATGCAAAATAGAATAGAATCATACAAATCAAATGAATACAATGTAATGCAATGCAATGTGATGCAATGCAATAATAGACGGATAAATGCCAAACATTGTATATGTTTATAACTTCAGGAAGTTTTTTTTTCATACAGTGGCAATTAAGTAGACTGCTGTGAGAATAATGTTGAATTTTATATTGTGGTGAATATTTTGCCCTCAGGAATACTACTAATTTCAAGAGCTACCAGATGACAGACATTTGGCCTAAAGCAGCATTCCTATTTTCTATCAGATCTACTTATAGTGATTTCTTCTGCACACAGATATGCCTTATGAACCAGCCAGAAGATCAGCATGGACAAGTCATGGTCATCCTGCTCCTCAATCAAAAGGTAAAAGATATAGTTACTGAAAATCCAGTGGAAATATACATTTCATGAATAATATTAATTCAGTCAGATGTGATCGACTATGAATAGGGAATCCCTATTCTAATTATCCCTTAGCTAATGAACCCAGCTAATGAACAAACACCTTCATTGTACCCCACATTGGTAGTTTTGCTATAACAACTAGATAAGCACAGTGCAAAAACATGCAGACCCTCTAGTCATATTGGACAAATAGAAAGAAAAAACATAACCAAAAACCCTATATCTATTCCTTCACAGTGTCTGCTGTTCTGAAACCAATAGATTTCATATTATTTCTGTGAGATTGTTATTATTATGATTAAAGTACCAAGTACCTCCTTGCGAAAGAATATTGACTATATCTTTCTTTGACATAGATGGTAATAAAGGTTTTGGCTTGGTTTTCTGTTTTTAGCTGCCCAAGCATCATCTTCCGCTGTGACCAAAACAGAAGACCAGCGTCCTCAGTTGGGTATGTCTTTGGTTGTGCATATTTTGTATCTTAATGATGATGGAAAATATTTATGCTTAGTGTGAGAAGTATGGGCAGGCAATAGCCATTTAATATATATTGTCAAAACTATATATATTGGATTATCTACTGATTTTCAAATTATTTTAAAATAATGAAGATAGCTGCCATGCAAGTAGTAAGGTAAATAGATAATGTGCAAAGCCTGTCTACTAAATTGAAAATGATATAAGGTCCTTGGCTCTGCACCTTTTTACTGGGATCATGAATTGTATGTTTCACTGGTTCTACACAAAATTCATGGTTTCAATATAAGGACAGAAATAAAAATAATATTTAACTATAATGGATTGTCATGGAGAGAAAACAAAACCTTGGTCCTTTTTGTATTATTTTGGAATCTGAACCTTTCCCTGGGTAAATTCCTAAAAGATTAGGTCTATGGAAGGGGTCAAATATACTATATCTCTGTTTAACACAGAAATCCTGAAATAAATAAATAAATAAATAAATAAATAAATAAATAAATAAATAAATAAATAAATAAATAAATA